TTATATTTCAATTTAAAATAATATTTTTCTATACAACATGTGCATTGAATCTAAATAATATTATTCTTACCATTTAATTTACCAAATAAGTTTTTAAAAAGATATAAAAATATAAAAAAATATTATTAATTATTATTTGTTAATTTTTTGAATAAAAAAGTACATTTTTTTATATACATGTATATTTCTTTATTATAAAATTTAATTGTGACCACTTATCTTATATTTAAATTATTTATTTTAAAATTTATATACATTATAAATATTTAATTCATTAAAATAATTTTTAAAAATTTATATTTTTAACAAAATACTTTCGTATAGTACATGAGTTAAAAATACTTGTATTAATATATATATATATATATATATATTATTTTAATTAAATCTGTTATTTTTTTTATAATTTCAGTTTCAAAAGTTAAAAAAAAATATTTTATATATCCACTTGTTGTTGTTAGTTAGTACTTGAATTTCTCTACCATAACTCTACTCTTATTCTCAATGTCTACCTCATTAAAATCTAGCAGTTATAAAATGTTATTCATCAAAGTTAGTTGTCAATGTCACCATAAGAGGTTACTAAGTGATCTCACATGAAGGGCCACTAATTATGCAGATTTATTTCGTTGTCACTTTGTTGTTGTTGTTCGATTAAATCTCACATAATATAAGGTCATTGCCGATAAATAACTTGTGTATTTAATTTAGCTTATTATTTCTAAAAATTTTAGTTTAGAAAATTGTTGTATTAAGATATATTTATCCCTTGTGATCTTTGAATATTTATTTTTTATCTATATTTATACCTTATTCGGCAACTACTTATGTGAAATTAAATAAATATATTTATTTTATAAATATTTTTCTTAAATAAGCGCGGATAATAGGTACAAGATGGGTATGCGGATATCCAGAGGGTACAAGTACGAGGATTAATGTTCATACCCACACGACTATGGGTTGGGTACGAGTATTTTTTTAAAACGTAAGTATGGAGATGGGTACTATAGTACCCTACACATACCCTATCCATTGTCATCCCTAATTATAAATACTGTATATCATATTTTATATAAAATAGCATAATTAAGTCATGTCACGTTTTAAACTACTTATATAACTATAAATATATTTAAGTCATATTTATTACATAATCATAATTTAATATATTTAATAATAAAGTAAACCAAAAAATTTATTTTGTTTTATATTTTTAGTAGAATAATTTATTTAATACTTTATATTGTTTGTTTAGGCTAATACATTTAATTATTACACAATTGATATGAAATTAACTTTTTAAAAAAATATTATTTATACATGACACACGTATAAATTATTTTTTACATAAATATTTTTGTTAATAAAATCATATTGATATTTAAATCATAAAGTGAATGATAACTAATAAATATATTGTAAATATTCTATAAATTTTACAATCACCTAATATTACCGTAAGCTTATTATTTATTGATAATATTTAAATTTTATTTTTATATTTTAGTTTAAAATAATATTTTTCTATACAACATGTGCATTGAATCTAAATAATATTATTCTTACCATTTAATTTACCAAATAAGTTTTTGAAAAGATATAAAAATATAAAAAAATATTATTAATTCTTATTTGTTAATTTTTTTAAATAAAAAGGTACATTTTTTTATATACATGTATATTTCTTTATTATAAAATTTAATTGTGACCACTTATCTTATATTTAAATTATTTCTTTTAAATTTTATATACATTATAAATATTTAATTCATTAAAATAATTTTTCAAAAAATTATATTTTTAACAAAATACTTTTGTATAGTACATGAGTTAAAAATATTTGTATTAATATATATAAATATATATTATTTTAATTAAATCCATTTTTTTTTTACAATTTCAGTTTCAAAAGGTAAAAAAAAATATTTTATATATCTACTTGTTGTTGTCATTTAGTACTTGAATTTCTCTACCATAACTTTATTCTTATTCTCAATATCTGCCTCATTAAAATCTAACAGTTATAAAATGTTATTTATCAGAGTTAGTTGTTAATGCCGCCATAAGAGGTCACTAAGTGATCTGACATGAAGGACCACTAATTATACAGATCTATCTCGTTGTCACTTTGTTGTGGTTGTTCAATTAGAACTCACATAGGATAAGGTCATCGCCGACAAATAACTTGTGTGTTTAATTTCGCTTATTATTTCTAAGAATTTTAATTTAAAAAATTGTTGTATTAAGATATATTTATCCATTGTGATCTTTGAATATTTATTTTTTATCTATATTTATACCTTATTTGGCAACTACTTATGTGAAATTAAATAAATAAATATTTTTATAATTATTTTTTCTCAAATAAGTGCGGGTAATGAGTAGTATACGGATACCTAGAAGGTACGGATACGGGATTAATATTCATACCCACACAACTATGGGGTTGGGTACAAGTATTTTTTTAAAATGCGAGTATGAAGATAGGTACTATAATACTCTACACATACCCTACCCATTGTCATCCCTAATTATAATTATTGTATATCATATTTTATATAAAATAGCATAATTAAGTCATGACATGTTTTGAACTATTTATATAACTATAAATATATTTTTTATATATAACAATAAACATATTTAAGTCATATTTATTACATAATCATAATTTAATACATTTGCTAATAATTATTTTAATAAAACTTATAAATAAATTTAAAAATATATATCTTTTACTTGATTATAATATTAACAAATCAAATAATTACTATAATACTTAATTATAAATTTATATTTACTATATATTAAATTTTAAATAAATTTAAATTTTATTTATTATGTGATAAATATTTAAGACAAAACTTAATTAAAAATTTGAAGAATACTAATTAAGAAATTAAAATTAATTTAAATTCTACCTTTTATATTACAAAAATACTTAATAACTAAAAATACATGTTTCATAATCTATATTTTTATTTTTTGTATTATAATCTACACTTTTTCTTATAAAAGTTATATTTATTAGTCAATAATAATTTAATATAACTGCTAATAATTATTTAAAAAAGACTAATTAATAAATTAAAAATAATTTACTTAATTATAACGTAACAAACTAAATAATAATTTAATTTAATTTTCAATTAATTTAATAATTACAATAATACTTAATTATAATTACTATATATTAATTTTTAAAAAATTAATTATTAAATCAATAAATAGTTTTAAATTTTATTTATTAAATAATAAATATTTAACACAAAAAAGCTAATTAAAAACTTGAAGAACACTAATCTACATTTTAATTTTATATTAAAAAATATTTATTAACTACACTTCAAAGAATATAATTTTTTAAAAATTTTTGTATTATAATTTACACTTTTTAATAAAGGTTATATTTAATAAGTAATAATAATTTAATACAATTGTTGATAATGATTTAAACAGTACTAATTAAGAAATTAAAATATATATATATATATATTAATTTTTTATAACATTAACAAATTAAATAATTACTCTATTTTAAATTTTTTAATTAATTTAATAATTACTATAATAGTTAATTATAATTACTATATATTAAAATTTAAATAAATTTAATAATTAAACCAACAAATAAATTTTTTAGTTTTTATATCATAATCTACATTTTTTAAAATAAATTTACTATCTATAGAATAACATTGAAACTACAACATAAAAAATTAATAAAATTTTTACAATTACAATCACTTCCATGATTTAAAGAATAACATTAAACCTATAATATAAAAAGTAAAAATTTTACAAAATTTTATTTACATTGTAATTACATATTGTTTCTGAAGCTTATTTCTGTGAATTCATGATTGCATTACGAATCATTCTGATTTTAATTACCTTTCTTCTTTCTAAATCAATTTTTAAATTTTTTTTGGTACAAAAAGAAAGTCCAAACTTCTCCTTTAATTTTTTTTTTTTTTTGTGTTTTCTTTAAATTATAATCATTATCTCTGTTTTGGTTTCATTCTTCCTTTTTTTTTTTATGATTTTTTTCCTTCTTCATCCCTCAACAACTCATGTCCCTCACCAGCCCTTTTGAGCTCTAATTTATAGGCACGAAATTTTTGAAGACTTGGCAATTTATTTTAGCTCTCCATTGAAGAAAAAAAAAAGACCTTTTATATTGTAAAAGCAAGTCATTCCTCTTTTAACAATAGAGCTGTTAATTATATTTCAATTTGTTTGACAAAAAATTATAATTATATTTGAATCCAAAAGTGGCCAGCTTAAAGAAATATTTAAAAGTTAGAGAATCTCTAAATATGATTAAGAAAAAATTAAAATTAAATTATATTCATCATACAGGTTCAAATCTAACTCCAACCTAAAAATTTAATATTTTGCATTAATGACGCTATGGTGCCAAATCTCCAAGGCTATGATGCTAAGTAAGCAAAGAGGATCATGGTGATGCAATATGTTTGTTATCCAATTAACATTACAACCATAATTTTAATGCATTAGTGTTTTGTGGTGCATTTTCGTTTCATAATTTCTGTTGAATTCACGTTTACTTACTTTTCAATGTAAATCCAAACACACATGTTCTTTAACGTTGCAACAAAGTATGTTTCCTTTCTTTTGTTGATATTTTTCTCACTTAATAAAAAACGCATGTCAATTGTCAAACTCTTAAAACATGACACTGACACATTGGTAGCATAAAAATTAATTCATCCAACAAATGAGAGGATAATTTTTAAAAATTATGTTTCAATATAAAATGAAAATAAATGCTATTTTTAATTTATTTTTTAATATTGGTGTAAGGATATTTTATGTGTATAGAAAAAAAATTATGATAGATAATATCAAGTATCATATTAATTTTTAATGTTTAAATAATAAAATCTATAATAATAGTAATAAGAAAAAATAAAAATAAAAAGAAGACACACGTTGGCGTTGGTGGAAGCCTATACTGTGTCCGCAACGCAAACGCAGAAAAGATTCGATGTTAATGGCTTATATAAACGAGCAGCATCTGAAGAGTAAGCATTTTAAGTTCGGTTTTTTATATATAAAACGCAGTTCACTTCGTATCTTTCGCCTCAAATCCCTAATTCCCAAATCTCCCACACAATGGACCTCACCAAGAAGCGCAAAACGGAAGAGAACGGCGATGCCAATTCTACGCCGCCACCGTCTTCCGACGCTGCCGTCGCAACCACCACTCCCCTCGACGCAGAAGACATCCGCAAGATCCTCCAACCCTTCTCCCAGGACCAGCTCCTCGACCTCCTCCAATCAGCCTCCCTCCGCCACCCCGACGTTCTCGATGCCGTCCGCTCCGTCGCCGACCGTGACTCCACCCTCCGCAAACTCTTCGTCCGCGGCCTCGCCGGCGACACCACCTCCTACACCCTTCGCACCGTCTTCTCTGCCTTTGGCGAACTTGACGAGGCCATCGTAATCTTCGACAAATCCTCCGGCCGCTCCAAGGGCTACGGCTTCGTCGTCTTCCGCCACGTCGACGGCGCCATCCTGGCTTTGAAAGAGCCAAGCAAGAAAATAGACGGTAGAATGACGGTGACGCAGCTGGCGGCGGCGGGAGGCCCGGGCGGCTCCGGCGACGTGTCGACGAGAAAGGTGTTCGTGGGTAACGTGCCGTTCGAGATATCCTCGGAGACGCTTTTGAGCGAATTCATGAAGTTCGGGGAAATCGAGGAAGGGCCTCTAGGGTTTGATAAATCGAGTGGGAAAACGAGAGGCTTCGCTTTCTTCGTTTACAAAACCGAAGAGGGTGCTAGGGCTTCGTTGGTGGAACCATCGAAGACGATTGAGGGACACCAAGTGATTTGCAAATTGGCCGTTGATAACAAAAAGACGAAGGCTTCAGGGTTTGGTGGGGAGCACCAGCAGCATCAGCAACATCAGCAGCAGCAACAAGCTCCTATGTTTGCATCTCAGTACGGTGGGTATGGTGGGGGCGGTGGTTATGCGATGCAGCAGCATTCGGTGCCACCGTTTAGTAATCCTGTTCCGGTTCCGGGTGGTGGTGGGTATGGACATGGGTATGGTAATTCGCAGTTTGGTGGCGCGGTTGCCGGTGACTATGGGGGAAGGGTGGTTCCAAATTCTGGTGGAGGGTTCCCTGATGGGTCGCAATATGGGTTTCCTCCTCCGTCTGCGGTTCCCTCGCAGCCTGCTCCCATGCCAAGACCTCCCCCTGGAGGAATGTACCAAGGCGTTCCACCTTATTATTGAGGTAAATTTTTGAATTTCGAGTGTGGGTTGTTGGGTATATGTTTTTTTTTGTCTCTTAGCTCCGTTGTTTGGTTGGTTGTGTGCTTGTATTGGTTTATATTTGCTGTTGGTTTTTATTATTATAGTTATTTAATCTTTGTTTGGGGAAGAGAAAAAAAGGATTTTATTGCTTTCAATCTTTTTCTTTCATTTTACTGAAAGCTTACTCGGCTGTTGATTAGTCTATATGTCCTATCCATTAGTTAAATATGCTCTCTGTATTAGCTGAACTTGCATTAGATGGTTTTTAAAACAAATGAATTTTGTTATAGGTTTTTACTTTACAAGGGCCAATATTTTGTCTCCACCTTTTTGTGTTTTTAAAATGCAATTTCATTTTTTTAATGGCTCTTCTATCCTACCAATCAATGTGTCTTAAATTGATTGGTGATATGAACTGGGTTTACTATCTGTTGTAGAAAATATATTATGTTGTATTGTATGGTCTTCCTGTTGTAATTGATGTTGATTAAAGTTTGTGTTTGTTGATTGTAATTAGCATTTCAGAAATAGCTATTTGTTTTGACTGTTCGTTTTGTTTTTTAAATGTTAATGATTGGTTTGAGTTTTGAATAGGTGTTTCATTCAGGTTTGTGATGGCTTCTTGGACGCTAATGCTTTAAATGGTTGTGCTGATTTCCTGCATGCAGACAATGAAATCTTTGCTTTTGGTTACATGGACTGCTGTAATTTGTTGCTGCTTCACTACCTCTGCTTCTATGTGTTATGGTTCCATTTGTGGTAGATGTTAATTAAGGCTTACATGACTTGGTGTAGTATTTGAATGTAGTACTTATGTGGAATTTCTATAGAACATTTTATCTCTAGTTTTTACCTAAATTAGGTTCCTGAGTACGAGTAAATGCCAAGGTGCTTATATTAAATTTTAAATGTTTCTTATTGTTATTTATGTTCCTACATGCATATATTTACACTATGTGGCTGTTATGGTGTTGGTTTTGGTTTATTTTAAGTGTTTTCTCTTTTATAATTTCTGTTCATCGCAAATATTTGTTTTGTATGGTGGAACCCATGATATATGAGTATTTTTTCAAATAACTTCTTATTTGGTTTTAAACTAAAATCAAATCTTAGTAAGTAAACCAGTTTGCTCTATTCTCTACTGGCTTATTCATCTTTTCTTAAAGATGAGATCTGCAATTGATTTACCCTGAATGAATGCTTGTGTTCACTTTCTTTGAAAAATGCCAACCATGAGATTGATTACCTTTTTGTTGTGGAAATCAAAGCTAAAATTTGATATCGCATTTGCAATGCCATGATTTTTGGTGTGTAAATGGTCAACCTTTAATTTTTTTAATGCTAAATATATGGTTATTTTTAAGCTCCCCTCCCTTCTCTGTGCCAATCCTGTGAAAAAAGAAACCAAAGCTATACAAGGGAAATAAAGTAACAAGCATTATTTTTCCATCTCAAATCAACAGTAGGATATGAAAATAAAAAGCGAAACAGAGTAATTAAGTTGGTTGTTTGCCTCATCTTGCGCTGTGCTGCCCTTGAATATGTGATATAATTTGTTTGGGTTCTGGAGCAGATAAATATTTTTCAGGGAATAAGCAACTTGCTTTGCAATAGTTTAGCGTTTCTTTTGTTGATTTTTTTTCACTGTCATTTATCATCCGTTTGGGCTGAATAAATCATTGTTTTGTTTGTTTCTACTGAACGTGTCTACATTGTTTTCTAATTTTGATGGCTTGTGTATCAAACCTTGTGAATGTCGATGTGCTGCTATTTCTAATGATTTTCGAGGTGGTTCTCCTGGTAGTACAGCCAACACCACATTGCTGTAGTCCTTTGAGGTTAGGACTTTTGAAAGTCATTTTGGTTTCCAAATGTTCATTGAAGGAGACAAGTTAGTTTTGTATCATAGTCTAAAGTGAGACCATTGCTTTGTAATAATTTTGTAATAAAATATGAATGCTGCTCTTAGGAATGTATGGAACAGATAATTTGATAAAATATATTGTGCTTGATTTATTTTACGATGCCGGAAGCATTTTTTTCACTCCATGTCGTTTCAAATAAGTAAATTGGATACTACTACGAATTTGAGTGCATAACAACATCTGTAGTTCTGTGCTACAAATTGTCGAGAGCATTGTCTCTGTGCTTGTTCAGTCGTGAAAATGAAATATCCAGAGACAACTTTGGCATGGTGCAACCTTTTGTTAAAGATAAGATCAAAATGATTGTAATCAGTTGGAATTAGAATACGTACTCTTAACAGCACGATACCAGCTCATTGCGCGTACTACTACTACTCGAGATTGAGCCAAGTGTGAGGGTATATCTTGAACGAAACCCCGGGAAACCTCCTTTTTTGCTTTTTGTATATTTGATATCGTTCCTCCAAGGTCACCTGTGTAGCGTTTCATATACGTATTACACCAGTGCGGAATATAATATAAAAGTATAATATTGGACTTGGGAGTCAGAAAGTACTATTTTGATTTTACTAAATAGGGTGTAGTTAAGGACTTGAGACAAGGCTAGGTTGTGTTGTTGTAGGGTGCAGTTAAGGAGAGAACTTATCGACCAAAATAAAGCAGAGAAAACTAGATTCGTTTCATTGTGTCTTGTTTCGTTTTGTACTCGCAGAATGCTTGCTATCTTGGCATCGTTTAGTGTCCTTGAGACGTGGAAATTCTGCTACAAGTAGCGTCTTCGTTAAATAGAGTCAAAATAACTCTCTTTTGCGATAGTTTATGCATGTTTCAATCATCTTGCCTCATGGAATCTTAAGTTGAATAGAAGCTATTACAAATAGCCTCCTGTTAGAGAAATAGAAAATAGAGGGGGTTGACTAACCTTAAGTTATTATGCTTGGTAGATGGAATCTTGAGTTGAGTCTGGGTTTAAAGATTCCAACATTATTCTAAATATTATGCCTTGAGTTTGACTAACTATGTTCCAAGTTGATTCTAGTTGTATCTTAAAAAAAAATTAGAATTTCAACAATAAGGGTTGATACAGTGATGTAAAGTTTTATTGTGTTTATTTGTGTGAATGATTTATTTACATTGCGTAACTACTAAAAACATCATTGGTTTTTAACATAACTAAATTTTTTGCAACCCTGTGAGTCTCTAATCACTGCCCTATTTGGCTGATTCACAAATCACAACTTTTGCTCTATAATCGAGGACTTAAGCTGCCGGCTAGCTTCTTTATTTTCAATTTCATCAAAATAAAAATAAGTTGTATATTTCGTGGACAACCTTAAAATATTTATACTCCAATCGCCTCACTTGCCATTATACAAATCCAATTTTCATGAACTCGAACCCACCACCAACCGCTAGCATTCATGGATAGTTCAGCGGTAATCACATGTTAATTAGTAAAATCTGTTAAATAAAAATAATAACTTCATGTCATAATTATAATTTTTTCCTTAAATATATTTTTGTGAATTTTCAGTTTTAGTTTCTCTAAACTTTTTTTGTCTTATATTTTTGTAATTTTTTGGTTTTGGTCCTTGACCAGCATGGATAATTGACAGGTAATCACATGTTAATTTATTGTAAAGCCGTATCAGTAAGAAAAATTAAAACAAAAAATTCATAAAAATATAAAGATCAAATACATATTAATGCATTTACGTATTTTATTGTTTTTAAATTAAATACGTGAAAATTATAATTAAAATATATGACTTATTAATATTTTTAAAATTGTAGTGAGACACGCGACTTGCATTTTATAAGTTATACACTTATTTTATAAATATTAAAAATTTTAAGCTACTTTGGTAATTTCAAAAATAGATTACACTAATCCCGGAAAAAGGCCATAGCTGCATTTGCTCTTTTAGTTATTATTTCCATATTCCTACGTAGACTTTCTTTCACTAATTTTTTCATCGTTCTCTTCCCTTCTTCTTTTGCAACTCTTTGATTTAGAAGTGATTCCTTTGCAGTTCTAGAACTTTGTGGGCCTGAATGCGGCCCCACCTTTATTTGCCTTTCATCCTTAAACCATTGCAATCATTTGAGTGCTCTCTTCTGAGCTAAAGGACTCCCTAGTAGAGCCACTTCAAGAATTACAGGGTGTTTACGGTGAAAAATGACAATTGTAAACAAATAATCCAAAGATCAATCTGGGGACTGGATTTAGGTCTTCTTTGGGTTCTTTTAAGTGTGTTGTTAACGTGATGCTCAAATTAACGACGTAAAAGAGTATTAAGCAAGAATAGTGAATAATAAATGAAAATGTAGATGTTCTTTACAGAAAAGCGCTAAATAAGAAATGAATTGCAATAATTGAAACAAGCATCAAGCTGGAATTTAAATGCAGAATCGTAAATGCAAGAATGTAAAGGTACGTGAATGTAAACGTACGACTCCTAGCAATGAACAGCAACGACCGTTATGTCTCCTTATAGCTGGTGTCTGGCACGGTACAGGGTTTCAGCGTCTCAGAGAGTTTAGGGGCGGTGTCCGGGTGCAAAAAGTCGTCCTCTGTGAAATAATGCTTTGTAGTATTTATAGACATGAAGATCACCACCGTTTTCCTCCTTTTGCCGGCACTTCTTAGTAACTGCCTTCAACTGTTGATGCTCACTATCCACGATTGCTTGTGATCGTGCTGTTTGTTGGGGCTGTAACCGCTATCGCCCATGATCTCCTTTGCGTAGTGGTGAATGTTGATAACTACTGATAATCGCTTTTGGATTTTTCAATACTCCTATCTTTCGAGTATTTCTGAGAGAAACCTAGGAAACTCTTTTAATATTATGGCCTTGGAATAGTTTCTTCTTGACTTCTCTTTTCGAGCCATTCTGGAGTTTTGAGAGTCTGTCTTGGTCTTGTGGACTTAGAACATTTTCTTTGCTCATTTCTGTTTTTCGAGCAATTTTGGAGGGACTCTTGAGCTCGACCAGATTTGTGGACTTAGAATATTTTCTGACCACTTCTTGTTTTTCAAGCAATTCTGGGGGAAATATGGAGCTCAGCCAAGTTTGTGGACTTAGAATATTTTCTTACCACTTCCTACTTTTCGAGCAGTTTTGGGTGTCAGGTACTTGGAAACTCATCAAATATTCCTCGAAAAGCCATCAGTTTTTTGTGGACTTAGAATATTTTCCTGTTAGTCCTGTTTTTCGAGCAGTTTTAGGTGTCAGGGACTTGAAAACTCCTCAAAACTACTCGAAAAACCATCAGTTTTGTGGACTTGGAATATTTTCTTGCCAGTTCTATTTTTCGAGTAGTTTTTGGTGTCAGTGACTTAAAAACTCCTCAAAACTTCTCGAAAAAGCCTTTAGTTTTGTGGTCTTAGAATATTTTCTTGTCTTTCAAGCAGTTTAGAGAAAAATCAACAATGTGACAAAAATCTCTTAAAATAGCTCAAAATGTGTTCCTTTTAATTAAAACCAAAGATCTTCCAATATTCTCTTATGTTCAGGTTTATCTTTGGCTCCTTCTTGACCCTCAAAACTTGTTGAAATGTAGTTTCCTTCAAGATGATTTTTAACTTAAAAAATTTTCCTTATCCCAAATAGATGCCCCCCAAAATATTAATATCTCAGGTAGATAAGATTTTAATATTTTTTATTTTAATTGGAAAATTTTCATTTTCTAATTTTCCCGTCATTTCTTATGGCGTCTCTGCCACTTACCTGCTTTATGTCAGGCACGTTGTCCAAAGTCGGCGCCATAAATGCAGGTACTGCCTGACAGTTACCGAAAATGTCCCATTATTGAGACGTGCTCCGTTCTATTGGGGATTCAAGGCCATTTTTGATCGAAAAGACACCCCACTATCTTTTCATCTTCCCACTAAGTGCCAAAATACTCTGGACTTGGGCTCTTGTATGGGCCTTGCACGAGGTTGGGGACCAGTATAAAAAGCGAAGTTACCTTCTCATTTTTTACGCTTTCGTTTTTACTCTCCTACTTAAGAGCTCTGTTTTCTCTCTTCTGCTTCTTTTTGTGTCGAAATTTCTTCTGGTTCGTCCCTATCTTCCCTATTTCTCGTCGAAATGGCCTCCAAGTCTAAGGTTCCCTCTGCCTTCTCCAA